TGTATGCATTCATTTCAACTCTTCTTATTACTAACTGCATTGTTCCTTTCCAGTTAAACTGACATCTCGCTGTTCAAAGAAGACTTCAAATGTAACTAGTCGTGACTTCTTTTGAAAATGGACAAAATTTGACATCGGTGTATTATCAAGTATCTGCAGAAAAAAGGTTTGGCCCCCAAGAACATTCATGCTGGCATGGTTGATACATTAGGAGATAACGGTTCAGATTTATCAATGCAAAAGGGGGCAGTTGAATTATGGGTGGCGGAGAAAGAATCTTGAAGTTAAGTCAAGACCTGGATGTCCTGCAACTGCTACCACCGAGGAAAACTTTGATCGTGTTCACCACCACGTGATGGATGACGAGCGATTGAGTATAAATTAAATAACCAATTCTATTTACATATTCCGTGAGAGAGTTGAGATCATTCTAAACAATGAATGTTTTTTACTTGGTGGTTTCCACGTCTTCTGACAGCTGATGAAAAAACGCACAAGCCGATCAAATCACGGGGAAATATAACACCCCTCCTCACCTGCTCAGAAGAAGGCCAATGTCGTGATGGCATCAGCTTTTTAGAATGCAAAAAACATTGTTTTTATTGAATATTTTCAATGGTTAGTCAACTTGCTGAGGCATTTACGAAAGGCTATCATGATGAAACACCAAGAAAAACTGACGAAAAGGGTTTTATCATGACAATACTGTAGCACACAAGTCCTTGGTTTAGCTGCTTGCTGTGCTTGACTGTGGTTTTGAAGCGGTTGATCACCGTCCCTATTCTCCTGATTTGACTATTATCTGTTACCCAACATGAAAAAATATTTGACTGAAAAGCAGTATGGCCGTAATGATGACGTCATGTCTGCTGTTGATGACTTTTTTGGCCGACAGAGTGAAAAGTCTTCTTTGAACTGTCAGATGTCACTTTACCTGGAATGAAACAATGCAGTTATTAATAAGAAAAGTTGAAATTAATACATGCAAGATTTCACAACTCTATCATCACTCATTCATAGTCAGCCTATGATTTTTTTTCAGTCCAGCTTCGTAACGTGTTAAATAAAATTACACTCGTATTTTGTAAAATTATTAAAATTAAGTAAAATTAATTGATTATCGAAAAGGTAACAGAAAATTCTGCTTAGGTTATTTTTGGTTAATTAATTCTAATACTCTATACAAATACTTGAAACTATGTTTCCTATGCTTTTCTACGTTGCTAGATATCTCGTTACTGGCATGACACGATAGTTCAATTTACAAGTTAGAAAAACAATCATTTCAGCAAACAGTATTTACGTTATTCGGACTATTGTCCTCATCTTTGTTTCCATATTTAGCACAAGGTTTCGGCTTTATCCACTGTGTCATGTGTCCTTAAAGACACATGGCACAATGGATAAAGGTGTTGGTTAGATTCAGTAACAGGATCCAAAGAGTTGTGAGTTCAATACCTGGTTAAGGCAGTGGAGAGGTGAATTAACAGGAGATAACTGATAACTGACATCCATTAGACATGGTACGTGGAACTAGAACAGTCTAACCCAGCGAGCGAAATAAAGGGTTCAGTTCGACATTCCAACCACCTGAAAAAGACTGGATCGTACAACGGCCGAAACATTGTGATAAATATGGCAACAAAGATGAGGACATTAGTTCGAATAATGTAAATAGTGTACATAAAATGTATCTCAAAAATATAGACAAATACTTCAGTAAACATCTATCTTATAATTATCTTACTGTTACATCTCTTGTTACCTTGACAGGTGTCAGTAAAAACTGGTGTTTTTGTTATCCTGTTCTCTTTCTTGGTTCTCTTTTTTAATGTCATCTCATTTACTCTGAAGACGGTGTATATCCCAAAGCCAACATGGAGTCTGACTCCATTATTCTTTTAGGCTAAGGTCAGGTGTATTCTGTCCAATCTTCTATTTCTCCAGATTCATTCAATTCCAAAGAAGATCGGGGTGAATAACTCTCATTTGAGAAACTTTGAAAAGCCAATTTTGAGGAACTGACCAATTATTTATTCGCAGATGTCCCAAAGAAGTGTGGCACGCAACCAAATGACCGCTTCCAAAAGCAACGAAGAGGTTTGGTTGCCAGCGTAGCCCGACCCTTGCAATTAGAGATTTAGAATCTATTAATGCCATTTTATGAGGAGGTTGCGACCCGACTTGAGGTGGCTTGTTCGAGTTAGGGGAAAGCAATGATGCAAAGGAGCCGAAGGCGGAACTCGTCTCTGGTTGCAACACAGACGGGCGGACGGACGCTGATTATGTCATAGAAGATGGTGGCTGCCTGTAAATGACAGCGAATGAACCAAAGACCTTTGCCCTCTCGCCGGAAGCTCAACTGTAGAATGCGCATGTGCAAAAAATAACCAGATGAAATAAAAATTGTAGCGTGTAGATAAATGCGTCAGAGAAGAAGAAGAAGAAGAAGAAGAAGAAGAAGAAGAAGAGAAGGGAAGAAAAAGAAGAAGAAGAAAACACAAACAGACATTGGGAATAAAAAGAAATCATCCGCTTTGCATGAGAATAACTTTTCAGCTATTTTCATCTTACTTTGCATTCAGTATTTCGTCCTATTGGAAAACGCTGTGTGTGTGTGTGTGTGTGTGTGTGTGTGTGTGTGTGTGTGTGTGTGAGAGAGAGAGAATATTTGTGTGTTTGTAAGTGTCTGAGCGAGTTAGTGTCTTTTTTTAATGGCAAGCATTAAATTCGTTACTCGAAGGAAAAAGTCTTGTTCGCCATTTAAAGGAGATCCATATGCCGAAGTGATTTTAACCTATACAATATATCGTACTACACCCATTTGTAAATATTAAGAATTGTTTGGAGAGAATAAAGGAAAACGGATTTCTAAAATCTGAATTGAATGTCAGAAAGAATGGCCAAAATACTTAAAGAAAGATAGATTAAAAAGAAAACAATAAAATATCTCGCTCAGCAATTAACCGATAATCAACTAAAAAGTAATTCTTATTTCAGTCAAATTCTCGTTGAAGATAATTTTAACCAAGTAAATTCTTCAGTGTGCAGAAAGACTGAAAATGAAAATGGCTGTTAAATCTTTGAAGACAAGAAAACGAAAAGAATTGAAGAAATCGACGAGAAAGGAAAATAAAAACACCAATGGCTGTGAGTGAATAGAACAAATGTGTAACGTTTTGTCCTCTTCTCATAAAATTATGAACAGTTATGGCTTTATTTCCATCAATATGAAAAGTAGTCGAAGGAGAGAAAATTACTAAAATCAACAGAATGGAAGTGCATTTTAACAATGGTTACTAACATTTTTTTCAACTTTCTTCGAAATAAATAGAAAACTGATATTGCAACAATACTTTACGGCAATGTTGGTATCAGTAATTGAAGTGAGGAAAAGAATTTTCAGCATCTTTTTCAGAAATGGTAATATTAAAATTAATGGCAATGGTAAAAAATGGTTTTTTATTTACGCATTCTAAATTTTTATTATGTCTTCGAGGTAGATGCCATCACTTCCAATTCGATCTCATAGTTTCTGTTTTGTGAAGGTTTATCTCTAGTGCCAATTCTTGGGAAGGTTGTTCTTTTGTTAAGATCAATTTTATGCCAACTATAAACACCTGTGTTATGAGCATAGTGCGTCCACAAGTGTTGAATGCAAACGAAGGAAATATCTTATCCTTCACACCTTTGCTGTTATGATCTCTTGATCTTCCTTGAGCTTAATTAAATCAATTGATGTCAAGGAAAATCAAGTGAGGAAGATCACATAGTCATCATCTATAGAATCACATATTCCTTATTACATAATGTCAAAGCCACAATGTAGTGCCAAAACCTATGATGTCGTCCACACTTGTGGGGTGACTGTAACTAGGGAAATAACATTTGTTTTTATCCGGTGTTCAATAGATTAATCTCCATACATTCACATGAGCTAGGAACAAAGTTGGTGTAGACAAAGTCTGTCTTTTGTCCCCTACGCTCTTTAACATCTTCCTTGAACGCATCATGAGTGACGCTCTTGAAGAACACCAGGGCACGGTCAGCATCAAAGGTCGCAATATCAATCGCCCCACGCTTTGCAACCGGTATAGATGGTCTAGTTTTCAAAGAAGAGAGACCCTTCAGCCTTGTGAAGAACCCGGATGAAACTCCTACAGATATAGGAGGAAATAAATGCCGAAAAGAACTCTCGACGGACCAAGAGAAAGGGGTTGGTGGTGAAAGTAGTTAGACAATTTAAATATATTGGTTCAATTATCTGCGAAGAAAATTTCAGAATAGAAAGAATTTCAAGAACGAAACAAACAATAGCAACTGTCGCAAAAGTAAGAATTGTCTGAATAGACAAGATTATCTTCCTGAAATCAACAGTCGGATTCTGACATGCACTGGTCATTTTTCAATATTTCTATTCCGACCTCGAATCTTAAATTTTAACAGTAGAAATACAACGAAAAATGCAAAGATCAGAAACGAGGTACTACAGGAAATCCATTCTCGACATTCTTCTTACGTAGCCTGCATCCCAAATGACACAATGCGAGACGCCATCAGAAAAGAAACAAACCGATTGGAAGACCTCATAACTAGTGTCAAGAAGAAAAAGTTGAAATGGTATGGACATGGGACGTGCGACAATAATATTTCCACTGTCATCCTATAAAGGTTACCACTTTAGGCGAAAGAAAAAGACGCCGATAGATGTAAAACTGAGTAGACGGGGAAATCACTTCCAGAGACTCAGTTATTGGAATGCAACACAGGCATATAGAAGGAGCTGGTCATTCCTCAGTTGCGCAGCGAATCTACAATCACCCCCCTCCCCCACGGTCATGGCAATGATGATGATGATGATGATTGTGATGATGATGATGATGATAATGATTGTGAGGATTGTGATGATGAAGATGATGATGATTGTGATGATTTAAAATTTCAGTGAAAGTTGTCATGGCAACATGAAGCATCTCTACTTCATATGCGGATTGATTGAAATGTTTTGCATTCACTGGCTACTACTCCATTCGATGCGGAGAGATTTTTCCCCTGCCCAAGAACTGCGTGACGGTGAGTGAGTGAGAGAGAAACAAAGAGAAAGAGAGAGAGAGAGAAGAAAAACAAATATAAAGAACAACATATACAAGATATCTCAAGATCAGTTTGACGTCATTTGACAAATCCTGAAGGATTTGGATTGAGAACCACGGAAGAAACTTTAGTTTATCAGTTTTATTGCACTACGACTATTATCCTCATCTTTATTGTTATTGTCACAACATTTCAGGACATTTCGGACTGAACACTATTTAATCTACGTTAATCTTGTTCATATTTAGTACTGCTAAGTGATTGCTCATCCTGTTTCCATTCAGTCTAAGTCTGCCCTACCCGACCCAGGGATTGAACTCACAATTACTAGGTCACCGAACTCCCGAACTTTAACCCACTAGGCTATTATACCGTACATTAAAGCATTGGATAGTGAATTTGGTGACTTTCATTTTCAAAATTCAAAAAGTAACTGTAGTAGATATCATACTAATTTTAAAATATGACACTATACTGGAAAGGTCTTGGCTTGATCTACTTCCCAATATCCGACCAAAGTACCAATTTGACTAATATCAAGGATGTTTTGTTTGCAATTTAAGGACTTAGTCGAACTGAGAACTTTATAGCACCACTGGAAAATAACAAGAAACTTAACAACTCGTTTTAGAGAACAGTCAGTAAGCAAAATAATAAATGACTGTTACAAATATTTACCCAATGTATCCAATAACACTGAAATGATTTTTTTTCAAAAGAGCACGCTCTCTAAGACTTTGCCTTGGGATATTTCATTGTGAAAATATTTATATTGGTTATGTAAATTAAACCTGAAACTATTTTTCTCAACTCAACAAAAATATATCCTCGGTCTTTTTAAATTGGTGAATAATCAGGATATTACATTATTTAAAACTTTCGTTTTGACATTTTGACCTTAAACACTGTATATGTACATTTCAGTCAGTTCAATAATACTAACGAATTAAAATGAAACGAATGGACAAAAAAAAAACTAAAATAATATCAAGTAAATGAATAATGGTAATATTAACCGTTTCCTTATAAGGAAACATTCGATATTCTTTGACCGAGGAGCCAGTATTGATTTCGGTTGAAATTCATAAAATCATTCTCTCGAAGCGATTTTTCAGGAAAACAGGTTCTTGAAGTCCAGCTGATCTTATCGCTCTTTCCAGTATTAAGGGGTGGGGTGGGTAGTCATGCTGTTGGCAGTCCTCAAAGAATGGGGTATCTGTTATTTGCTACAGTTCTTTGTTTCTGATTATGTAGCGCCAGACTAAAATGTCAAAAAAAGATTATTTATGCCAAGAACTTTCAGGTTTCACTCGTTCAAATCCTTTTTTCACCATTGATCTTAGGAAGCTGTTGTAGTTGTATACAACTGACAGTTTAGATATTTCTGAAAGGGTTTGACGCTATTCATGACATTCATATCTATGATAGTCTCGATCTGATGAGACTTTTAAAGAACATCACTCAAGATTCAAAATTCACGTTGGTCTTTTGCTTTCTTAGCAATTTGTGTTTTTGCAAAACTAAAACAACACAAAAATTGTTGTAAAATTTCGGCCTTGAAAAATTGATTTCCGCAATTTAGACATTTCACGCTGTCTTCGAATGACTGCAAATAATGGCCGTTCTCCACTGAGGGACGGTTAACAGATCGATTCTCGTGTCGTGTGTCTATCAGCAAAGGGTGTAAATTTCAAATAAGCATACATTTGGTATCTGTCTATATTTCTGAGATGATGTACATTATTTACATTATTCAGACTATTGTCCTCATCTTTTTCAACATATTTATTACAACGTTTCGGCCGTTGTACGCTCCGGCCTTCTTCAAGGACACATGACACAGTATATAAAGGCGTTAGTTAGATCCAGTGACAGGACCCAAAGAGTGTGAGTTCAATACTCGGCAGTGGAGAACTTTCAGAGGGAAATTAACAGGAGATAAATGACACCCGTTAAACTAGAATAGTCTACCGTAATGAGCGAAATAAAGGGTTCAGTTCGACATTCCAAGCACCTGAAGAAGGCCAGAGCATACAACGTCTGAAACGTTGTAATAAATATGGCGAGAAAGATGAGGATAATAGTCCGAATAATATAAATAAAGCCTACATTTATTCATTATCTTTTAGATTATGCGTATTTATAAGACTTTTATAATACACAAATTTTGTGCTTTTTTGTTGTATATCTAAATAAAGCTTCCGGCTTCAATTTGAACGAATCATTTTTTCAAAATGAATTTTCTAGTTGCTAGTTTTTTCAACTTTTTTTTCTCCCACACTTCGCCTAAATCCATACAGATAAAAACAAAGTGTTTTATTTTATTTTCTATTTGACAATACCAACCATGTTTTAGCTTTAGAATGAAAGAAACAAAACAGCATTTCACACTTTCTTTCATTGAGTTAATCAAAAATCTCTCATCATTTTGTATATTGTTTGTCACATGTATTCAGCAGACAGATTTAATGTCTGCATGCTCAATAACTCCCATTACTGACAGTGCATGCACATACACATACACACACAAAGACACACGCGCGCATGCGCATATACATATATTAGTTTGTTCAGAAAATAATGTATTCTGTGTAATCTGTGACTTCGAACATTCTACACTAACACTACGATTATGAAAATTGCATTTATTGTTTCAGTATCACGAAGACGACCACTTCTTCTGATATTATTTCCAATTTAATTCTGATTTATTAATTAGAATCCGAATTATTAGTTTAATTAAGTGGTTACTCATGCTGATTCTTCAATGAAGTTGTCATTCATTTGCATCTGTTTTATTTGGTAGCGCTATGAAAATGAATCTAGTAAGCGTCTCCAGTATCTCACCACTGTTATATTCCGTTGAACGCTTCGATAACTTTATTAATTCCTAAATCTAACAGTATCTTTATTAAAATTTCCGCTTCATCATAGACGGTGCCGACCTAAGCTAAGGTTTTAACATTACGCGCCTTTGTATGTTTTTATGTATAGCAGGTTTTTCTCTTTTTCTCGCCGTGGAAGAGCTTTCTTGTCTATTGATTCCATTTCTGAAGTAGCCATTCTTTTCTCCATTGTGATTGTTCCTTCTCTCGATTTTATTCATCCTATCGGAAAAAAAACAGAATTTGTTTTGTGATTTCTTTTATCATTTTGTGCATATTTTCAATTTGTCGGTCACTACACATTTCTCATTCACCCACTTCAGTTTGCTTGTACTAAATTTAGTCGAGACTATTTCATGGCGTTATCTGCTATTTTTATTCCACTAAATCGCAAGTTAACTATTTATTTTTGTTTCTTTATATCACTTTTATTTCTTTCTCTTCTTCCCGTAATGTGTCTCCCACTATGTTCCCTTGACCTTCTCCAAAGGTTCATGTTTGTTCTGAATTGTGATCACGTATAGGGGGTTGCACAAAGTAATGAAAAGAAAAAAAATCGTTTTAAATGGATTTTTTATCATTTAATATGGAGTTGGTCTATCTATGGCCTCAATCACAGATAGAATACGTCGAGGAATTGACACATACAAGTTCTGTGCGGTTAACGTAATCTTGAGTCATTTATCAAGTAAAACCTGATTTAGGACTTCCGGCAACTATGGAGAAGTTATGGCTGCTCAATTACTCCTCCCAAATGCACCATAAATATACAGTGATTGTGCAGCGCCATTCCAAGTGAGCTACTTCACTTTTGGGTTCATCCTACTGATTTTTAATACTATTAGACGTGTGAATGGTCTATTGTCTTGAAAGTATACGCTTCGATCAGAGAACAATGGTGTTGTACCATTGGATGGAGATGAGTAGCCAAAACACTCAGATAATCGTTGACGTTATCTCTGCCACGAAGGACAAGTAAACGGTTAAGTGAATTCTGTGATGGCTCCCAAAATATCACCTTTATGCTTCACGATAGAGACCAAACAATCAAAGCTGAATGATTCTTTGGAGCGCCTACAGATATAAACTCAACTTGAAGTGGAAAAAGTAGAATTCACCAGACAATGACCATTCAGCCACTGACCACTTCTGATAGTCTAACAACCCTCTTATTAATGTCGATGGAGGAAAGGAGAGTTTTAGAAATTGTAGTCCTTCCATGGTATCCCGATTTGTAAAGATCATCACGAATGGTTATAGTTGGCACAGGGGCTGGTATAGTGCCGGTTTCGTTCGGCTGTTATTTTTGCTGTTATTGTTGCCAGACACAGAACGTTTTATTATTTTGAAGTCCCTCTCTGTGAACTTTCACTTCCGTCAAGAATCATGCTTTCCAGAACTGGTTTTTACTCTGATTTTAGAATTCTAACATTATTTTAGAGACTTGTCGAAACAATTCAATAGTTTTAGTGACTGAAGCTGCAGCCATCAGCGCTCTAATAATTTGTCCACTCTGGAAAATCAGCACAATCACGAATTCTAATTTTTTAAAATATGGACATACGCAAAAATGATAAAGAAATAGAACAAAGTGTTATAATGATGACGAACAGCGCATTCATAATGCTGTAGTGGACCCCCCGGAGGTGGAGGCGCGATATAACATGGCCTGTACCCCACCCCTCCCAATAATACACAGAAGAGGCCCATTAGCATTTTAAATTAAAAACGTGAAATTCAACAGGTTAAACAAAAATGGACAACAGAAGGAAGATATTTAAAATGTAATACAACATTTATTTAGAATATAGACTAAAGATATATATATATATATATATATATATATATATATATATATATATATATATATGTGTGTGTGTGTGTGTGTGTGTGTGTGTGTTAAAATTTTACTGGGATATTAAAACAGATAACTACACACCAGTAGTAAATTGGGATTTCGTCGCCAAAACTACACCCTTTTCTGGTCATTATGGGTGTGTATATGATGTGTGTGTTTTTGTGTGGGGGGTTATGATCTATTTAGTGCTGGTTTAAATTTGTTAATTAAGTTTTTTTTTTTCTTGTGCTTGTATGTAAGAATAATTGTCTGTTTGGTATATTGGCATTATTTTAAATTTACCTTGATTACATTTGTAGATGTGTTGTGATACAAAGAATTTTCTGTTGTCGGGTAATTTGATGTTACTTTTGTGAATCACTACGACGCAAAAAAATGATTTTTATATGTGAAATATCTACTCTTTGCTTGAAGAGGGTTACTAAACCAGAAACTCGTGCAGCAGAATTATGGAAAATAGAGTATAATATATATTTTAAATAAAAAATCCACATTTTAACCAAAAACGTTTGCGGTTAATCCTTCTTTTTAATATATATATATATATATATATATATATATATATATATATATAAAGAGAGAGAGAGAGAGAGAGAGAAAGGCAGACAGACAGACAGAGACACAGAGAGAGACTAGGGTTATTTTGAATTTGTCATAGAAAAAGTAGTTAAATAAAAAGTGCTGTATGTTTGTTTACAAATAAAATCACTATGAACTTTATGGCAAGGTCTTGATTTAGACATCTGTAATTTTTTGTAATTTTACCCTGATCTTATGTATGCTTGGGTGATGATCGCTCCCATGGTCAGTTCAAGAACATGCTTGAGAATACAAATATGCATTTCTACATTGTTTGTTAAGGTTTAAGTAGTCTATCTGGTTTTTAATATCTCCAGTTCACAAGTGTCTTGTGTGTTCTTGAAATCAAGCGTTACTTATTACCTGGCCATTCGCTGCGCACCAATAAACCCATTTGATTCAAGTCAATATTTCCAAATCAATTCGATATCTTGGTTATTTCCATGATAATGATCATTTCTTGTAACTTGCTCTGAGGTTTGCCATTTTGTATTGTGTTGTAAAAATTACCCATTTCTTTGTCGGTATTTTCTGACGTTAGTGAATATATTATTATGACGGCCATATTGAATAGATACCATTTCAATTTCACCAAAAGAACTATTAGTTGCCAGTACCTGAAAACGCGCTTTTTCTTTTACAGTGTAACCCGGATATAAGAGTGTTGTTGGGACCGGAGAAGAAGTCTCTTATATCCGGATTTCTCTTATATCCGGGTTTGGTCTATTTTGAAAAAATTTTGAGAAAATCTCTCTTATATCCGGGTTTTTTATATCCGGGTTTCTCTTATTTCCGGGTCTCTTATATCCGGGTTAGACTGTATTTATCAAATATTAATCTTTTTTTTCCTTTTGGTTCATTTTTTTTTCTCTTTCGTATATGATTCCTTAATCACCATTTGAGAGAATTCTTATTCCTGTCGTGTTTCACTTCTTCTTCTTCTTCTTTTTCTTCTTCTTCCTCCTCCTCCTCCCCCTTTCTTCTTCTTCTTCTTCTTCTTCTTCTTCTTCTTCTTCTTCTTCTTCTATGTGCCATATTCCTTCAGGACGTTGGCGATCATGTATCTCATCAATTTCTTGTCCTTTGTAGCTATTAACAAATTGTCATTTTGCCATCACTCTCAAAACACTGCTCCGCCATTCATTTACACAAGTTCGCCAGGAATGCGTTGCTTTCTTCTCTCTCTCTTACTTTCAGTCTGTCCTGTGAGTATCAAATTATCCAAGCCCTCTTTCCTCATTATGTTCCCCTGGAATTTCAACTGCCTCTTACTGTATGTGTCCTTTGGTCATTGTATCTAGAACTTCCTAGTTGCCCACATATTCCATCAATGGTATTCTCAGCATCCTTCTGTAGAAACGCATTTCTGTTCCTTCAAGTCTCTTCTTCATCTGCGAGAATATTGACGAGCATTCACTGCCATAAAGGAGAATTGATATTACATAACAGTTTAATTCTCTATCTTTTGTTTCTAACGATATTTTTCTGTTACTTTATACTTTGCTGAGCTTTTCGAAGGCAACTTTCGCTATCCTATGCTCCTTTATATTTCCTTGTTCCACTGTCCGTCTTCTGTCTCATATATCGAAATTATTGCACCTGTTTGATTTCAGTATTTCCAAATTGTAATTCGCATGTTAGGTTGTTCCTTTTGCTGCCAACCATGAATTCCATCTTCTTTCAATTGAGGTTTAGTCCTTTCTTCTCGCTTTTCTTCACATACCAATCTATAATTAAATTTACGACTCTACGCAACAACTGTTATTAGATTAATTTTATTTGTTGGTTTATTCTGACAATCAGTAATTGCTTCACTTTTGTTTTGTTTTTGTTTTTTTAATCTTGGTTTTGGAATCGAAAATTCTCTGGTCGTTATAATATTGCGATTCTCTTTTTTTTATATTATAATTCACCCGAAAGACACCCAAAGTATATTTGGTTTGGTTTGTTTAACGGCATATCAACACCTTTATGGGTCATTTAATGCCGAAATTTTATTTTCTTGTAAACTTTGGTAATTTTTTTTTTTTTTTTTTGGAAAAATTTATTACTATGAAAGTATATTGCTGGTAATTTTTTCTAATGTATTTTTATATTTTCATGCCTTGACCTCAGTTGGGACCGTAACAGGTGCTACCACCCCGGGTCAGGGTGGACCTAAAAATAACAACAATTAAGAGGTGGTCCCATGCTCTTCAAAACCTCCCGATCAAAAGCCATGCTGCCGGATGTGGAGTCAGTTCCGCCAAGTGATAGATCATTGTTTATTTTATTTTTTAATTTTAAGCTAAGTGACACTTCCTTATCTCATTTGGAACACGCAGGAAATTAAGGTGGGCCCACTCCATGGAGATGGCAAGTTAAGGCCTGGCTGTAAAAGATTCAACTGGTAGGACTAAAAAATGGAGCTTGACTGAACATTTGGCATGGATTTAGCGATAGCATTACTCCACTGTATTCAAGTTTGAATTTTCTAAAGATTAAACATGGCAGAAGTAGTTAAGCTGCAAACCTAAAGCGACAGAAGGAGACGGATCATTTTTTCCAGCATTTTTCTGTTGAAAAGATTTCAATCTTCTTTGACAGTCTGTAAATTTACGAATTTGGAAACTGCAGGAGTACAAAAAAATCAATCGATCGATCTCAACCTTTTGTATTTCAGTTAGATTTATTAGCCTATCTATCTATCTATCTATCTATCTATCTATCTATCTATGTTCGTCTGTTCATATCTAGCTAGCTAGCTCACTCTGTTCATATCTATCCCAGCCTGTTCATATCTATCTATCTATCTATCTATATATATATATATATATATATATATATATATATATATGTTCGTCTGTTCATATCTAACTAGCTAGCTCAATCTGTTCACATCTATCCCAGTTTGTTCATATCTATCTATCTATCTATCTATCTATCTATCTATCTATCTATGTTCGTCTGTTCATATCTATCTAGCTAGCTCAGTTTGTTCATATCTATCCCAGCCTGTTCATGTCTGTCTGTCTGTCTATCTATCTATCTATCTATCTATCTATCTATCTATCTATCTATCTGTATGTATGTATGTATGTCTATCGTAGTATGTTGATTATCTATCTGCATACAGGGAGGGACGGGTAAATTGTTGCCATTTTATATTTTTAATTTCACGCATGCGTTTTATTTGTTTTGATTTTTTCAATTACACAGTATACTAGGGTCAATTGGTCACCCTCCACGAGAAAATGATTAGCCTGACGCAATTCACACTGTCAGAAATTTGAAAACTGCATGTTGTACTGCTTGTCATTCATGAAAGAAGCTCCAATCTGAACATTTCAGAGTGTTTTGGTGTCAATCTGAGGATAGTTCAGAGTATGCTGTGTCCTCAAAAGATATACTGAGAGTGATGGAAACCAAACCCCAGTCAACATAATGCTGTTTAAAATGATCACTAATGATAATGACGTTATGCCTCTATTCATCGTTCCACAGAGCCTCAAACTCAACGCAAAGGTCTACATCAAGGTCCCTGCTGAAGTAGTGCTTCCCTGAGTCAAGAGGGTGACTGCTGGAAGACCTTATGTCTGGCAACATGGCTCTGCACCATGTCACAAAAGAAGGAGAATCCAGTCATGGATGTCAGACAATTTCTGCGACTACATCAACCCTTACATCTGGCCACCTAACTTCCCAGACTGCACTCCCCGCTTTGATTGTTATGGGTGGGGCACAGATGAGAGAGAGCCGAACGAAACTCACTGTAACACTAAAGATGAAGGATTATGGCAGCTTTCATCAATTTAAACAAAGAGACCGTCCAGTAAAGTTGAAGAAGATTCCGTAGTCGTCTGGAGGCCATGATTGAAGCCAATGGCGATTTTATTGAAGAAAATTGTATTCCTCTACAATGTTTGCTCTCTTCTCTCTTTATTTCACGATAACATTATTGGCTTGCGTTTCCGTGTTCTTTCTCAATATCTCCATTTTCTTTCTCTTCATTCTCCTTCTCTTAACGTTCTCACGTATTTCTCTCTTTTTCCCATTCACGTCTTTTATTCTCCTCTTTGTTCGCTTATTTTTCTCTCTCTTCTCACCTCTCTTCCAGTCTTTCCCATACTTTTCTCGCCAACCCCCACAAAAATAACTCCCCGATTCCTTATATAAAATCTCTATATATTCTCCCGCTTTTCCTTTGAAGTCAATAGTTGAGGGGGTGGCGGTGAAGTTCATTTCATTCAAGAAGCTGTTCATTAAATTGCAGCCAACGTGGAACTTTCGCCCTTGAAATTGAAGATATTACTGAGAAGCATCACACTAAGTCTTCCCAAGTAACTGATTTATTTCTCTTCACTGAAATGTGTCAAATTTCTCACACGAACTGCAGGGGTGCAGGTGGAAGAGGTACCTTGACACTGTGCAATTGTATATGCATAACTATGCACATTTCTTTCTTTCGTTCTTTCTTTCTTTATCTATATATCTATCTAAATACACACACATACACACAAACACGCATTTTATATATAGATATATATACAAAAACACGCATTGTATATATATATATATATATATATATATATATATATATATATATATACACACACACACACACACGCGCGCACACACACATATATATATCTGAATAAATCCTTTGAGGGACTTTATCAAGGTAATATACGATTTATTATGATACCTGTATTTATATACATCATGGATTGTGATTAGATAGTTATGGTATGTGATGGACGTATGTGCTGTACATTTTCAAAGTCTGAAATGATGAAATCGTTTTCTTTTCTATATATTTGTTATTGTGTATGTTGGCTTTGGAAAGTATTAATTCTTTCAGGAAAAGTGAGGATAGAAAGAAACCAAGACATAAATTTATATTTTGATAACATTCAATAGCGGAACTTTCGAGAATTTTTCTTCTGTGTAAATGAGTTTCTTTTTTTTTTGATACGTATGATATTTTTTAGATAAACATTTTGGTCAAATGTATTTTTGCGTATGACTAGTGCATTTGTTTTCTCAATGTATTGCGAGGATTTTTTAAAATTCATTTGTCTCTACTTCAGATACACTGTATCTGAGAATATAATACACACACACACACACACACACACACACACACACACACACACACACATATATATATATATATATATATATATATAATGCAATTTGAACAAATAAATAAAGCAATTTCCACACCTAACGAAGACAACCTAATGTTCAAGATTAAAAATAAACCCAGCCGCATCCCTCTAGTAACCACTTTCAATCCCACTCTGCCTCCACTATCCCAGATAATCAAAAGTCACTGGGAAATACTTCATCTCAAACCACACCTAAAATAAATGTTTGAGGAAAAAATGTTTGTGCGGAAAGTGTCGAATTCAGGCAATTCTTATTAAGTCTCTCAGCGAATGATGAGCATTGATTGATCTATTCTTATTTGTCTATTTTTCAAAGCTGCATTTTGAAAATAACTTCGGAGCACCGAACACAAAGTTCATTTTGTAGGCCAGTGAGTTGAAGCCTAACCGGATTTCAAGTCTAATTGACGAAAATAAACTGCCTAAATGTGAGCAAGTTATATAGGAATAAAGTGTCGCTGCTAACACTGTAGTACAGATTACCAGATAGCAAACACAGGCGAACCCATTTTGAATAAGTAGATCACGTGATGGCAAAGGAAATCTATATGGGAATAAGCATGGCTTCCAATTGATCACTACTTCTACCCTATCCTCTATTACTATACGGATCGCTATTCTCTATACTATTCACTATACTATTTCTCTATATTGATCTCTATACGGATTACTAATCGATGGTTACTTTTCGAGCGAGTATTATCAAGCAAGTACTATTAGTGCGAGTATTATTCGAAGGCGTCTGACACTAGTATTGTTCAACTGCGTTATTATAATTGTATCTGCGATTATAAAGTCTCTACTACAACGAGCATTACGAAAGTGACAACGAGTATTCGCTGACATTACAAAAGTGGCAACGAGTGTTCGTTGACAACCAATTTAAAAAAAATGATTATTAGTAAAGTTGCAATAATTGTTAAACCGCAAATTTCAAATTTCAACTTTAAAAAATTATGCAAGAGATTAATGTTTTACCAATTCTACAATGAAATAATAAATTAATTAGATTAACTTGCTCTAGCCAAAGATAGAGAACACATAAAAAAATCTACAGAACAAATAATAATTGGATTGAATTAATTCAGTCTAAGAAGTAATGGTAGAGTGTATATGAATATTCTAAAACGAAATAACATTAGATATCTTGAGTCACCAAAATGTAGTGTCTATCAACATTAGATTGAATCATAATTTCTATTTATGTGAACGAATGTTAATGACGGATCTATCATCTGAACTCTTTTAATCATACGTGATATTTAAGAATACATTTGGAATGCACTAATAAACATTAGTATTTGCATGGCAGCGTACGCAGTAAATTAAACAAAAACTATTTTTCTCCTCCATGGAAAAACATACAGTAATAATAAGCGTAGAAACATTTTTTGAATCTATTCTTCTTCACTCGCCTCTTTACTTGATCTTTCACCAAACCTTTTCGATCGTTAAAATTATTTTGAGGAGGAAAACTTCTATAATAAAAACCAGATTCAAGAATTTTTTGAACACTTTCTCATATCAAAACATGCTGAATTTTACTCACAAAATATCTGGGAAGTTTTTACAACAGAGGACAGAAAGTGTGACACTGAGACCCGAAAACCCATTGGGATGGTGAAAGATGCATGCCAGAAGCTAAGCAAAGTATTAGGAGACATAAACATTTCGTGAGAAGCAAAAAACAAAAAAGAGTATTGAACTGTTACATGATATTTGTCGACCTGTGTGACAGCCAATGCTTGAGAATCTCCCACATATGAAGAAGTAACTTGAATCAATAGAAATGTGGTTCTACAGAAAGATGCTAAGGATAAGTTAGTCCGAACATGTGACAAGGTTTTGGAGAGAATGGAAACAAAAAAGAAACTCATACTTAACATCAGGAAGAGAGAGTTGAAATTTCCGGGGCACGTAATGAGGAAGGAGGGTTTGAAAAATCTGATACTCACAGGACAGATTGAGGTCAGAAGAAAAAGAGGAAAGCAGCTGGTAACATGATGAGCTTGAGTAAATGGTTACTTTGGGGAGAAATAACAAAAACACAAAACTTATTAAGGGTTACAAGGGATGGGAAGATGTGGAGGGGCATGATCATCTACGTCCTGAAGGGACACGGCACATAGAAGAAGATGATACCGAAGAGTTGTCCATTGTTCAGTCTCTCAGTCAAATAGTGGATTTCTCTACTCGTTTCCCTAATAATTCTAAGCAGCATTATTTGATTCGTGTCTTACCTCCTCATCTGGCTCTTGTCGAGTAACACAACTCTCTCATCATGGCAATTCTTATCATGCTGTTGTATCTGTTTTAGTCGTTTATTAGACAGGAACCTCCTATTTACAAGACATTTTTCTGTTACCAGCGTATTGACTGGAATTCATTGCGTGAAATTCTTCGAAAAAGAGGGTTCTTTTAGGGTTAAAGCCGTCATCGATGCTTTTAGGCGCAGTACTAGATTGTCGGTAAGGTCTCATCATTTTACATTTAAAATGGCTAGATGTAACTGTAGGCTCTATGCTAACAGTTTATTCTCTCGTCTCTCTCTCACTTGTGGAAGTATTTTCCAGCTTCTTCCTATCAAGTCTACATTTAAATGCAATGCCAATCGTTATCATCAGTTTTCTCAATTCTTAATCGTAATCTTCAGGACTTAAGATTGCGTTTAAGCCTGAAACAGACTTTTGCCGCTGGGTATTAACCACAATGTCATTTTAACATACAACCTTAGGAGTTGCTTACTTTATTCAAATTATGCATACATACGTAAATACATATATATTTATATATACAGAGTGCGATGGATAAATTGTCGTCTCAATTATGCAAGAACGAAAATAACACTGACATTTCATTTTAACAGACCAAAATTATGCAAACATATCTTGAAACACTAAACAGTAAATTTATTAAATAAAATCGGCAAAGACTTCCACCACGTCCTCAGACGACTACGGAATCTTCTGCGGGTCTTCTAGACGGTTTCTTTGTTTAAGTTGATGAATTCTACCATGATCCTTGCCTTCAGTTCATCTTTGGTGTTACAAGGAGTTTTGTTGGTCTCTCGTTCAACCCACACATAATAATCAAGGGGATTGCAGTCAGAGGAGTTAGGAGACCCTATGTAAGGGGTGATGTGGTCACAGAACTTATCTGACATCCATGACTGGGTTCTCTTTCTTGTGTGACATGGTGCAGAGTCCTGTTGCTCGACATAGGGTCTTCCAGTAGTCACCCTCTTGGACCAGGGTAGCACTAGCTCCTCATAGCACTTGATGTAGGCCTTCGTGTTGAGTCTATGGCTTTGTGGGAGGATGTTGATTGTATTTTTGATTTTCACCACTCTTGGTACATCTTTTGAGGACACAGCATCCGCTGCAATGTCTTCAAATTGACACCCAAACGATGCTGCTCTTTTTCTCACAGATGCTGCCCAATTGATCCTACTAGACTGTGCAGTCGACAGCATCAAAAACAAACAACGCGCATGCGCCAAATAAAATGGCAACAACTTACTTATCGCACATCGTATATATATATATATATATATATATATATATATAAGTATAGGATTGGCGTATACGGAATAAATTCCATATATATTACGCGTGGAAAGTTTCCAGGTTGTTTTATTTATCCAAAAGAAGAGTGGGAACTTTTGGATCATACGTAATATGTACGAGGTGTGACTATTGAATAATGAAATTTCATGTACGTCATATAAAAATATGACTATGAGCACCTCGACGTGGTGTAATGATTAGAAAGCTTGTCTTACTAGATCAATTACGACTGAGTAGTGAGTTCGATCCTCGCTGTGTGCCCTATACTTTCAGACTTCTTCCACATTTAAGCTGGGCTTAGGAAATCTCTATGACAATGTGCATGCTCAAAGGATATGACCAAAGAATCACGACTCTTGCATGTTTCTGTTAAATTGTGTCTTCAGGTCGCTCTTGTGCGTTATCTAAAGTGGACATGTTTTTTTTTTTCTGAAGCGTCTCTTGCCAGTTGAAAAATCTCTAAAGCGCTATTTTGAAATTTATGAAAAATTCAACAAAAAAACAAACGAATCTGTAGATTATGCGCTGAAATGGAAATCACATTGCCGAGTGTATATCGAAGAAGATCTTGAAAGATTTGTGTATATCCATGTAAATTTGCTTAAAAGTCGCTTTATTGATGGCAGTTATTTCTGCAATCATTTTAATTCTGTGTCGAAAATTCTTTCCCTCGAGTTTTCCGATCTTTTGAACATTTTTGCCAGTTTTTGTTCAGCATGGGCGTCCACATTATGGACAGGAGGTGTGTTGTATTTAGGCTGGACAAAAAAAAAAAAAAAAGAAAAAGAAAAAAACGAAAAAGAAACAAAAAAAAACGAAGATACTTTAAGAACATTGTATATTATTGTAAAGATTAATAGAATATTTTTTCTTGAGACACAATTAAGTCTGGAGAATTATAGTAACAATTGTTCAGTATAAAAATAATTCTACCGTTGATAATAACCCCAACAGAAACAGAATGAATTGATGTAAAGACCCTCAACGGATTTCTGACAATTCCATAATGTGTTGTCATTGTTATCAGAGTAATTCTCACAGCATTCCTTATTTCATTTGTTCCAGTCGACCATTCTAAGAAATAGTTTACACTGATCAGTCATTTAGGACTTGCGAAGACTGCGTTCTTTACTGAGTTCGAAAATAGCCATACATTGGACATTGAAACAGAGCTTTTTCGGAAATAGTTAGGGCGAGAGCTTTTCAATATTCACTCATAGGTTTCACACAAAAGTAAAACCAGACTTTTCGTCCACGCGGACATACACACATCGAAATATGTTTTGATCAATATATCATTTTATCCGAGTGATAATTGCCATAAAAATATCGATTAATCTTTTCTTTCGCCTTATTATTCTATCCCAGTTCGTTTTATTTGTATTCATATCTATCACATTGTGTCTGTATTTATCAATTTATCGAAGGCAATCTGTTCATACATCTTATCACAATCTGTTTGAATCTATCTATCTATCTATCTATCTATCTATCTATCTATCTATCTATCTATCTGTTTGTATCTAGCTATCATAAGCTGTTTGTATCTATCTATTTATCTATCACAATCTATTCGTATCGATCTGTTGCAATATGTTCGTGTCTATGTATCATAATCTCTTCATATATATTTATCGATCACAATATGTTCGTATCTATCTATCTATGTTCATATATATCTATCCCCTTTTTCTTACACTTTAATATCAAATTTATTTTATTTAATCTACTTTTCTACATGCCAGCACAGTACCCGTCAAACATAACCTCATGTCGTACATATAGATCACTAGTTTTATTAGAATTTCTAAGTGTTCTACCAAAGATCAAAGTGCCGCTCGCCGACACTCAGTCTAGTCTCAGTACCCAACCTCTTCGCATTCCTCTTCTTCGCTTTGTTTGCGTTCTTCTTCTTCTTCTTCTTCTTCTTCTTCTTCTTCTTCTTCTTCTTCTTCTTCGCATTCTTCGCATTCTTCGCATTCTTCTTCACATTCTTCTTCGCATTCTTCACATTCTTCGCATTCTTCCTTTTTCTTCGCTTTCTTCTTTTTCGCATTTTTCTTCTTCGCAGTCTTCGCCTTTCATTCTTCACCTTCTTCTTTGCATTCTTCGCATTTTTCTTCTGAACATTATTATTCATTACGTGTCCATAACAATAAAGTATCTGGAGGTTTAGATGGAAATTTAAATGGCAGCAATTCTCCTAAATACTCCAGCACCCTCCTCAGTATTCTGGCTGTTCCTAATAATGACATTTTCTGGATAGTTCCAATTCTTTCCCAGAAATCTAGTACCTTGGGTTCCAGATATTTATCTCGATTTTCGCTTCACTCATTCTATGATCTTTAAGAACAACGAAATTTATTCACTCACGCGTTCTTTTCTTCTTGTTTTGTTTGTTTGAATCGGGACAATTTTCATTTCTTCTTCCTTCCTTACTTTTTCAAAATTATTTTTAAGATTATGTTCAATCTGTATTTCTTCTCTTTTTCCTTTCCCTCCTCCTCCTCCCTTTTTTCCTTCCCCTCCTCATTTTTCTCCTTCTCCCCCTCCTCATGTTTCTACTCCTCATCATCAATCTCTTCTTCTTCTTCTTCTTCTTCTTCTTCTTCTTCTTCTTCTTCTTCTCTCATGGTGATTTGCCTTATATGGTTTTTCACTTCTTTTCTCATCATCCTGACGCCATTTTTTTGGCATCCAGTTACCTCCATCAAATATGGAAACTTCATTGAAACTTTAAATTGTTCGCCTGCAATTATCTTGTCCATTTTTTTAAATCATTTATACTTTTTGTCATATTCAGTTTTAAAAATCACTCCTCATTTAAATTGTTTCTTTAACCTTTGTGAAAAATGATTTCTTTTTTATTTGATCATTAGCTCTTCCCTCTCCCCCCGTCTCTCTCTCCCACTGTCTCTATTTCCCCCCTGTCTCTCTCTCTCTCCTGTCTCTCTCCCCCTGTCTCGCTCTCCCACTGTCTCTCTCTCCCCCTATCTCTCTTTCCCACTGTCTCTCTCTCCACCTGTCTCACTCTCCGCCGTCTCTCTCTCTCCCCCATGTCTCACTCTCCCACTGTCTCACTCTCCCACTGTCTCACTCTCCCACTGTCTCTCTCTCCCCCTATCTCTCTTTCCCCTGTCTCTCTCTCCCCCGTCTCTTTTCCCCCTGTCTCCCTCCCACTGTCTCTCTCCTCCCTGTCTCTCTCTCCCACTGTCTCTCTCTCCCACTGTCTCATTTTCTTTGATATTCTTGGTACCTCCTTTTTTATTAATTTCTTTCTCATTCACTGCATTTCAACGACCTTTTACATTTCTTTTGATTTACAAAAGATTTCCAGAAGAAACACTTGAATTTTGTGCTCTTAAATGATTTTCTGTATTTTAGAATTTTTTCAATGGACACCAAAATGTAAATTTATTCCTGTGAAGAAAACTCTGTAAACAAAAACGGCAAACCCTAGTGCTTATTGTCTCCTTATTAATTCACTTGTGACCATTTCTCATAATTAAATCTACTCTTTGCAAAGTCTGCGATTTGAATTAAAGAACTTTTCTTAGTACCAATATTGTTGAATAAACACACTGATCAAATATGAGCATGGTGACTTCAAAAGCAAAGTCGCTTGCTATAGAGCAGCCCCTTAGCAAGCGAGACACATTGCCCATTTGATAGGGTAGTTTGTATGCCATTCTTTCGCGTGTCTGTTAGACTAAACCCACACAGAGGGTAATGGTTAGCAAACGAGTAGAAGGAGTTCGATCCTGGCAGTAACTTTTTCCAGTATCTTCTTTTCCCAGGAATCATTTATACCAAAATGGCATGTCAGATATTTGTAAATTTCACTTCTAGAATGATACTCTTGCCGTATTTTAAAAGGTCCTGCACATGTCAGCTGAAAATCACTTAAGGACCTCCAATCGATTGTGAACTGGGGCATGAATTGGCTGGTCAACTTCAACGCTTCTAAGACAAAACTGCTCTCTATTAATCACCACAGAGAGCCTTCCCTTCCCTCCATTAGAATGTCTGACGCTCAACTTCTCTAGAGCAACTCTCTGCGGCTTCTCGGTCTCACGTTGACTGCTGATCTGAGATGGAATAAATACATCGAGTCAATTGCCTCGTCCACTGCAAGGAAAGTTGGCTCCCTGGGCCGCGCTAGGAAGTTTTTCTCCCCGGAGTCGATCCTCCAGATCTACAAATCCACAATTCGCCCTTGCATGGAGTATTGCTGCCATATATGGTCTGGTGCCCCTTCTGTTTGCCTCGGGGTTCTTGATAGGCTCCAGAGGCGGATATGCAATATGGTTGGCCCTGCCCTGGCGTCTCGTCTACAGTCTCTTTCTCACAGACGCGCCGTTGCCTCCTTCTGTCTGTTCTACAAATACTTTCATGGAAATTGCTCCGAGGAGCTGCATTCGCTGGTTCCCAGACGTCACGAGTTCCAGCGCCTCACGAGGCTGGCATCCCGCTCCCACCCCTTCACTGTCGAAACTCCTAAATCTAGCCGTCTCTTCTTCTCTAATAGCTTAATGTCTCGCACCTCTCACCTGTGGAACTCCCTTCCCTTCTCCTGTTTCCCTGTGAGCTATAATCTCCAGCTATTCAAGTGTAATGTCAATCGACATCTCCAGTTGGCTTGATCTATCCACTACCCTCATCCTTTCTTCTATCACTCCTATCTGATCTTGTTCTAAATTTTCTGTAACCCCTTGCGTCCTAGTGGCTTCCCGCTTTGCTTGGGGTGAAATGCTTAAAAAAATAAATAAATAAATAAAAATATATATATACAGTACGAGGCAAAAAAAAATGACAACACTCATAGAAAGTCAATTTTTGTATTTTTACCAAGGCAAGTGAATAATAGAATTCGTTTATTAATACAGAGTATTAATACAGGTGTATATATGTACATTATACAAGTAAAAAATGATTTAGTATTTTGTTGGATAAACTTTTGCCTTAATTCTTTGTGCCACGCTCGAGACTAAATTCTTTAATCTATAACGTGCAACAACCTTAAACCAATTGAAAACCTTTGGGCGAAAATGGACAAGCGTGTCTGTAATAGGAAAGTTAACACAGAGGATGAGCTTTTTCCCGAATGAAAGGATTGCTGGAAGAATCTAGCAAAGGACGTTGATTTACTAAGGAATTTAACCCATAATGTAGGCTATTTTAAACAAAATAAATTCAACATAAAAATATGTCGTATTTAATTCATATCTTAAAAATAAATTGTCTTCGTTTACGTTAGAAGACGAAACAGACCAAATATGGATATTTTGAGAATCGACAGAGAAGGTGGGCTCCAAAGGCAATGTTTTGGGTTTGGGTCGCCAGTAAGTCCCACGTAGCCGATCGGTTAGGTACGTCAGTTGCATGACTAAAGTTTTAATTTATAGCTAGAATTTGACCTCGCCCTCATGCTTATGGCGAGGTCAAATTTTATTTTGGTTCAACTGAAAATCATTGGAAATCACGTTAATACCATCACTAAATGACAATAGACAATATTAAATATAGTAACAGCACTGCCCTCTCTAATTTTTTTCTGGAAAATAAAAAGCAGCAATAGAAACCAAACGATTACCTGGGATTACATAACAAAAGCCAAACCTTTTAGAAAATTTTGTCATTTTAAACCATATAGATAATCTTAATTTGTTAAACAAAAAAAAAAGAAGTTAGTTAAATACCAGCGTTCCCCGCTGTTTAAATTTTAACTTTTAATTTTTATGAATGTAAGTTTGAACCTAAATTTAAATTTAAATTATAGTATAATTAAAATGTTAATAATAGTAAAAATTGATCCAACTAACATCGCGAGATGCAGAAATTTTAACCAGATAACGGCAAGTCCATTTATACCTGATGATTGCATAGTGCATGAAACTCCGAGTTGTACTGTCGGCGTGGGGCATTATGTTTATTTATTAATATATTCTTAATAGCTTTATTATTTTGCATTGAGCATCGTTTTATTTACACCAAAGGATATGTATATGAACACTTATACTTGCATTTATTTATATTCGTTTATTTGATTATATATATATATATATATATATATATATATATATATATATATATATATATATATATATATACACACATCAGCATATACATGATTTCTATCAATAGAAAAATTTTTCATCCTGGCTTTCTTACTTCTTCCCTTCCCCAATTCATCTGTTATCATTCCCTTCTCCCTCTCTCTCTCTCTCTCTCTCTCTCTCTCACCTATTCTCTTCCACGTTCTAACTTACACTTCCTCTCTCCCACTTCCTCTCTTACACTTTCTATCTCCCACTTTCCCTCTCCCACTTGCTCTCTTCCATTTTCTCTCTCCCACTTCCTCTCTCCAACCTCTTCTATTCCACTTAAACTCTCCCACTGGCTATCCCCACTTCTCTCTTTCAGTTTCTATCTCCCACTTCCTCTTTCGCACTTCCTCTCTTACACTTCCTCTTACACTTTCTATCTCCCACTTCCCCTCCCACTTGCTCTCTTCCACTTCGCTCTCCCTCTCTCCCACTTCTATTCCACTTAAAATCTCCCACTTCCTCTTTCTTACTTCTCTCTCACTTCCTCTCTCCCACCCGCTCACATCGTTTACTTACTCTCTTCGATTTTTACTCATTTAATTCCCCCTCACTCTAATTCCTTTTTCTAATTTCTCTCTTTCATTATCACTTTCTCATATCTGCCTCTCTCTGCCAGATATTTCTTTCACTTACTCCTCTCCCCGTCTTTCCTCTCTCTCACTCTTCTCCTCTTCAACCGTCTCTCTAGTTCCTTTAACTCTCTTTCTACATTCTCCCATTCTGTCCATTCTCCCCTCTTCCATTTTTCTAATTAACATTTTACTCTCTCTCTCTCTCGCTTTCTCTCTCTCTCTTTCACTCTCTAGTTCTCGCATTCCTTTCTTTATTCTTTTAGTGAAACTTTTCTACATTTTTTCTCTTTTTCTGTTTAATTCAAAAGAAACATTAACATACCAGTTTCTTCTTTTTCTATTTAAAAAAAATCCTCTTCTATTTCTTGAGTCGCCTTATTTAACTCGTAAACGAAACAGTCGACTTTTTGTGATTACCAACGATTTCTCGATTTAACTTACTAACCTCCATTTACCGTCTCTTTCTACTCTCCTCCCTCCTTCCTTTCTTCCTCCCTTCCTTCCTTTGATCACTCGACGAAACATCCCCCTCACCCCTTCTCTATAATCCTCACGTCTTGCCTTTATATTTTCTCGTACTTCCTCACCACCTACCTCCACAATACAAGCTTTTCAAATTCATCTTTTCAACCTCACGGTCATTCACAAAATACTGATTATTCTTTATGGATGTTGATGATGATGATGATGATGGTGGTGATGGTAGTAGTGGTCGTTGTCATCATCATCATCATCATCATCATGCTAATCAACATCATCTCCCTCTCTCTCTCTCTCTCTCTCGTCTTTCTCTCACCTGTCTCTCTCTACCCCTCTATCTCTCCCTCCTCCTCCTCCTCTCTCTCTCTCTCTCTGCGATGGCATCCGGAGTAACTGGTTCAAATTGGGACCCAAACGCTTTGTCCCTAACAATTATTAATCCAATAAATAACCTTTTATCGTCGACTCCTTTTCGTTCCCGCTCTCATCCCACGTCTCTTTATCTCCCAATCTCTCTCTCTCTCCTCCACTCTCTTTCTCTCCTCCCCCCTCTCTCTCAACTCTCTCTCTCTCTCTCACTTCCTGTCGATGTTGTCTGCCTCTTAATCTTCGATCTTTTTCTTTTCTTTTTTTTTTTCTTTCTCCCCCGCCATTTTCTCTTCATATTTCTCCTACCGACACTCGGAACTGCTGACCCACTCAATGTTGCCGGGTCTGAAAGTAGCATTTTGATTTATCAAACGGAAAAAGATCATTTCCGTTATTCGATCAACTGATAAGCAAGAAGGTCCAAGGTCAGTGAAATCTGGGACGTCGCTTCCATTGAAACTCCATACTGATCACGTGTCTAATCTTACTTTTCCTTCCTTCAGTCAGTTCATCGGTCTGTTTCTCCTTTTATCTTTACTCGTAGTTATCTATCCAATTGTGTATCTAGCCATCAATCACTTTCAAACTATTTCTGCTTCTATCCATATGAAAGAAATTAATGGTTATCAAACAATCAATTGGCTACCATAATTCTATTCGAAAATAAGTGTCAGGTGTTTTCGATAATTCTACAAGGTAGTATTGATACGAGAAAGGTCACGTCTGTGAATGTAGAATTGTAATTGGATTTTCGCTATTAAACCATTTCCCTAATTTACAGTACAACTAGAACACCCATAAACCCATTGAGTTCCTTTGAAAATTAGTTCATAATACAAAATGATGTGGCAAAAAGATTATCAATTTTATTATTAATTACACATACTTTAATTCTTATTTGCAATATAAGTTATTGTAATAATTATTATTACTCATATTATACAATATTACTTACAAAAGTAATAAATTAGAAAAGTTTTCAGAATTTGTGAAAGAAATTGCTGCTTTACATTATTTTCGAAATGAAATTTAGCTGGAAATTCAATGATAAACAATAAATTATCAAACAACAGACTTTCAGAAGAAAAAATAAATGAACAATACCAGAATAACATAGGAAGATGTCGGGCCATTTCCACTCATTTTCAAAACTGTTCCTAGGGGACGCTCTCCATCATTATAAATACTCTGCAATCAAATTTTATCTCTCTCTTTTTAATTTTCCGCTTATACAACAAAATGTAAATCTCACGAAAAAAAATTGCGTTTTTCCCTTTTGGGGAAACGTCATGAATAATACATACACGCACACACACACGTGTGTACGCACCTTCACTCACGTCGCATACACTTTGGCCCCAAAAAGTTTCCACATTCCTTTGTTACAAACATTATTGTCTTTGTCACTTGTAAAGTTTTGTTGTTAATACATATTTCATTTGTTTCTACATTATATATTTCGTTTCTTGTTGTTTCTTTACATTATTTTTGGTGGGTCTTATACCCCGAGTCTGCCATGTTTGTTGTAAGCATTTTATGAGACACACGTGTTTATCTCACAACGCGTATATCGGACCGCAACAAGATTTTTCTTGAATTGTCTTCGGATTATAACCTAACTTTAATTTGAAACTTCATTTAATGCAAACATTGCCTTGCAGGAAAAAACTTTTACTTTTTTCGAATAGAATTGCAAAATGATACAGCACCAAAAGCCTTTCCATTCGAGTAATAGTCGCCCTGGGCTGACAATCTTTACTAATTTTAACATTTGCCATATCAGAATGTGAAAGTTATTCCCCAAACAAACTAATGGTTTGCTTAGAGAAGAGAAATTCATATTTATTGAAGTAACAAAGTATCGATGCTTCCTTTTTGGGAACTTCATTTCTTTTGTTTGTAGCTATTTAATTTTTTCAAAATAATAATTATATATTTTATTATATATACTTGTTTCTTCTACACATTTGGTTCAAAATACATAACGGCGGCAAACCAACGTACATTTATTCCCCATCAATTGACGTGACACAATTTCCCAGCCATACATTTTGTTTTACAATGATACGCCCACATTTTGCTAATGCAGTTGCCAAACATCAGCAATATTTGCTTATAAAAGGTTCTAATTTCGTGTAGTGAATTGTATAAATATGTTGTGTTAGATATAATTAAATTCATTTAATAATGTTATAGTGTACTATGAATGTTTATTAATATTACACACATAACAGTTGGAATATAATGTGCAAGTATTTGTTTATATACGCGGATTGATATGAGAATGTGTATTGAAAACAAATACTCAATTTTTTATTAAAATGCTATCAAAATAGAAAAAACGGCCCTATCTCAAGAACCCCTTGTCTAATTTTAATGAAATTTGGCACAGCACTCGGCAGGGATTCAAGGGACAGTATGCTCCTAAATTGGTTGAGGCATTATGAATCTTTTAAGATGTATCTCGAGAACAAACATACATAAAAGATTAGAGTTTTAGTATTACATAGATATTGAATCCATGAGCCTAATTCTTTCTTTAACATTCATCTGAAAAGTTTTATTATTTAAAAAGAAAATAATTTATTTACGTTCAGTTTTGAAAAAGAAATTCTTCCGTTGTCTGCTCAAAATCTCATAATAATTGGTTTGTCTTTAATTCGTCAACTGGTTCTTTATCAGATGAATTTTACCATATATACCCGTGTATAAGTCGAAACTTGCTTTTTATGGTTACAAAGTCCTTTCTTACAGGCACTGCGTATAGGTTGATCTCAGTATTGCATTTAAAATCAGTAAAAAATGTTATGCTAATAAATAGTATTTGACGTGTTTTTTATTTACAAAAATCTTCCCCAAATTTATCACAGGAAATTTCTCATCCTCTTTGGAGAGTGGTCAATGTTTATGCCATTTTACATGGAATTGAGGAAACTTTTAGCAGAATTATTCAATCCAGGTATATAAGAATTTATTGGAGTTATTTGATGTAATACAGAAGATACGAGTGCAGAATGAAATATCGGGAGACATTAGAGAGAGTGGAATTAGAAAGCGAGGGTGAGAGAAATGTAAGAAAGCAGATGAGAGGAATTAGGGAGAGTGGAATTACAGAGAGAGGGAGAGTGGAATTACAGAGAGAGGGAGAGAGGAATTAAGGCAAGTAGATGATAGAAATTAGAGAGAGAAGGAGAGAGGAATTAGAGAGTGTGGAAGAGAGTGGAACTGCAGAGAGAGAGAGAGAGAGAGGATAGGAGAAATGGGAGTAAATAAGAGAATTAGAAAGAGTGGAAGAAACGGTAGAAGAGAGTGAAATTAGAAAAAAGAGGATGAGAAGAATATGAGATAGTGAAAAAAGTAATTAGAGAGAATGGATGAGAGGAATGAGAGAGTATGAAGAGGAATGAGAGAGGGGAAAAGAGAATTATGGAGAGTGGAAGGTGAAGAATTGAGAAGTTGGTAATTATCCGCGCGTCCAATCCTACAGAATGTGATATAAGGTCGGGCTGAAAGCAGGATTTGGTAGAGGTACAAAAATTGCCTTTTGGGGACGTCACAAGCAATGACCCCAACCTCATTCCGAAGGAGAGGTAATATCTAGATGGACAGCCTCTTGAGGCTCTAGCATAATATTAATTTTGACCCTCACCCATACCCCGATTCTAGAACTAGAAAAATGCACGATAAGTTCATAATTGCTAGTTAGTAAGACTGTAAGGAAAATACTGAATCAAAAGATTCAGGGGAGAATGGTTTAATTATACGAGAACATGGATTGGTATTACATTAGTTCAGCGCGACAAGCAGACGACTAAAAAGCGTTACCCATTTGCGACTCGCTTTTTTTGCCCCATGCCCTACTCATAGCAGATGGGCCAGTCCATGTTTCAATAATAGGGGTGGAGAAGGTTAGTCAGTCTTTTTACACAACAGATAAGAAGAGATCTACGGTATATTTGTGGTTTGAAAATATGACCTTAAGTCGTCGACTTATAAATAATTCTATAAGATATTTGAAATATATTTTTGGCTTGTAAAAAAAACAAACGTTTTTCTCGTTTCCGCTTCCGCCATCTGCTTCTTGCCACTCGAATTGCCTCACATTCGACCTAAGCCGAAATAACGAAACCATTTCCGCTTCCGTTGGGCTCGAAGGCAAAATGAAAATCGACATACAAACTAATCTGAGAAATCTGAAAGAATTAATCTATTTAAATCTCTGCCTTGGGATTTATTTCACAAGAAACCCATCCGCTCGGATGATGTTCGAACAAATATAGGAAGCTCTGGTTTCTTGTGCTGATTTAAAATTCATTGATTTCTAACGTTCCGCGTGGAAATCCACAATTTAAAAAATAAACTGATCGAGCAAATGGTAAAATGGATGACAAACGCTGAAGACAAAATAGCAAATTTGAAATATCACCTTGATTCCACAGGGAACTAAAATAAAACTGTCAGAAGTGAGTCCTCAGTTTCATGAAGTATTCTTGTTTTATTTTCTCGTCTCATGCGGCTACAATACGGTCTAAAATGTAGACTCAAAAGATTCTGCATGTTGATGTGTGCTTTTTTTTTATTTCATAAGTACAGAAAAGAAAAAAGCCAATGGTTAGAAAAAAGAGGGAGTGAATCAGGTCAACTCTTTTACGATGATCATTATAGATGATCAATATAGATGATAATAACAATGATTACTGGCCAATATCGATTATCTATATATGAGATCAATACAGATGCTAACATCAATAATCAATATCGAAGATCAACGTCAATATTAGTATAGAGGATCAGTATCAATTCTAATATCAATGATCAATGCTGATGCTAATATCGAATATCAATATCGATTTTAATATCGGTAATCAATATTGATGTTAATAACGATGTTCAGTATCAATGCTAATATTAATGATCGATTATCAATCAATATTGAACTGTTTTATTGGAAAAACAAAGTATTAAACATAAGCGTAATTTAGTCTGGCACAAGGCCACAAACATGTGAGCACGTTCAATCTCGAACCGATTATACTTGTTACTGTTTGCAAGATTTCTTCACTAAGAATTCATCTACGATTTCCGTCTTATAATTATAATACTATGAATAAATAAATTCTACAATAGTGAAGCACCGAGTAAGGATCGAACTCGCTACATAACCGAATGTAGCCTGCGAATCTAGCTTGCTAACAGTCGTTCCTCTGCAGGTAATTTAAATAGTTATTCATAGATCCATACTAGTAAATGGAATTCAGTAAAAATGTTTCCGGTGGCCAGGCGTTCCTCGACGACACGGGCAATTTCGAATATTCATCGGAAGCCATAACTGATTGCAAGCTTAACTTTTTCAATCGATGAAATTCTGAAAGCTTCTCATAAAACAGGGATTATAATCTTATATCTGAACTTTTATAGTCGCTTTTCCAAATCGATTATTTATTGGCATCATTTTATTCAAAAAGTTTTTGTATCCTTTTATAATGAACATTCTTGCGAAATGTTTTATATCCACAAGAATATGAGTTGTTTTTTTTTAGAATAGGTTTCTAAACCTTGATATTGTTGTTAATTTAATAAAATTAATTGTTTTACTAATGACAACAACAACAACAACAAAAAAAGAAAATAAAAAACCTTTATGGATAAAC